TCCATCTCAATGTCGGTTTTGCCGCTTTCTTCCATCTGCGCGATTATGTCGGCTTCCATCCCTTCGAGATCGATGTCGTTCTGCGTCAGTCCCTTTGTTGTCGCTTTTTGCATTGCAATGCTTTTTGCTTTCTTCAACATTTGCTTCTGTGATTCCAGACGCGTCTGGTGGTTGTGCTTTACTATTTTAGTGGTTAACACAATTTTCGCGGATTTTGCGCATTTTGGGGGTACCGGTGCCGTTTCAAGGCTGAGTGGCGCGTTACTACGAGAAATTGATGTTTCGAAGTTCGGAGGGTGATTTAAGGGGAGGAAAATGGGAAAAAAGAAATTTTCGAACTTCTAGAATTGTTTGTTTTTTATTTTTTCCTTTGGTCCTAAGCGATCGCTATCTTTTCCACATTGGGTCAAGGATCGGGTTCGCCGGGCGAGGAGGGAGAACGGGTGGCGTAATGGCCGGGCCCGTGGCCATGTATTGCGCTATGGCGGCACGTAAGTAGACTCTCATCGAGTCTACGAATTGTCTATTTTACCCGTTGGTCAAAGGAAGGAGGGTGGCTTCGACGCCAGAGATGGCGGCGGAACAGAGGGCCAGATTTGCCGCTGTTTCGGCGGCGCGTCGTTTTTCAGCTTCGACAATTGGTCGAAGCTCTAGGGGACACTCTGCTTTTGTGGCAGCTTTTGGCAGCGACGTTGATTTTGGCGCTGCTTTATCTGCAGCGTTTTCCGACGGTTTTGACGCTGTCGGAGGAGATTTTGACGATTCTCCAGTCCCGTGAAGGACGGAGGGTGGTTGAGGAATTTCCTCAACAGTTTTAACTGACCCGATCATGTCAGTATCGGGTTCAGCGACGGCAGGGAGGGCTTTTTCCTTCCCTTTGATGGAGACCTTGCTCATCTCCGCGCATTTCGGAGACTGGACAAGGCCAGGTAATTGTTCGAGAGCCCTCGGGCGGACTCTCGTGTTGTCCAACTTGGCGTTGGGACGCTTTTTGCGGACTGGGGGCATGGTGAAAATGCCTGAGCTCGATCACAATTCAGAGATGGATGCGACGAGGTCGAGAAGGGAGGAATGAGGGAAAAAATGAATTTTCGAATTTTCGAATTTCTCGAATTGTGCGTTTTTTGTTCATTAACGTGCTAGGTAAAGTAACTCCCGTCGCACTCCTACTGGAGCTTGAGCACGAGTGAGGTCGGGCCAGATCAGGTTAACTACCGTGCAGTACAAATGCCTCGTCCCACCTAAATGACCGGAACCATGCCAAAATGCATCTATGTGTTGAACCATGACGAATTCAGCAGCCCAGAATTGAAACAAAACAAAAACTTTCCCGCAAAATCCCGCATTACAAAAGAAAAACTTTGACAATCTCCCTTCCATCGTTCCGCCTCAGCCACCACGCGCCTGAGCCTCGATTCCTATCCCTACTTCCATGCCAGATCACCTAGGCTTTCGTTCATCACCTCCGAGTCACAGGTATCCCTGCCATCCCCCGGCTAGCCTCCGCGTATATTCCACTCTCCTGGACGTAGTCCCTGAACAGCTACCACCCGCTTGATCCAAGCATTGTTTCCAGAGCCGGCGCCCTACGCTTTCCGCTTTTCAGCCGCCATGTTGCCAGTGCTTTTCGACACTGAACAAGGTGACCGATTAATTATTCCCTTCCACACTCGCAGTGAAGTGTAGCGTCAGCGTGGTTGAAGCGGCGATGATAAGCCGCGAAGTCTCCATGTCCGGTAGGCAGCCAAAAGTCTCGTTGAAAAAGTAGTTTCTAACCGATTGTTAGATGAAGACGATTGGACCATACTTCATTGCGAGCGGGGTAATGAGGAGAGACATGCTAACCTATTACGAGCTAGCCCAGCTGCGCCTACAGGGCTAATCCCTATAACAGCCCAGTCTCAAGATTAACATTTCTGTTCCTAGAGGCACTGTACTTCACGGTAGTTAACCTGATCCGGCCCAACCCCACACGTACTTAAGCTCCAATAGGAGTACGACGGTAGTCAAGTAACCTAGCACGTTAATGAACAAAACAAAGGCGGGCAGGACTGAACACCTGTACGCGGTGTCCTCTACGAACCTGGGAGTGAAATATTCTCCCAGAGCCAAGTTCAGTCAAATTTCGCAATATCAAAGAAGTTGACCCACGAGGCAAAAATTCATATTACTCCACCATGTCAATTTTTCACTCCCAAAGAGTCCGATTCTCAACTAAGCTTCATCAAGTCTACGAGTACGACCTAGTACATCCTCGTTTCAATGACCACACCTCTCGTCGACTTTCTCTGGCCTCAATTGACCACCAAATACACGCCCACGCCGATATTTATACCCGACGGAGGAAGCAAAGCGTGGAGCACAAATCTGGGAGATAGCTCTTTGGGATGGACGTGAGAGGGATCAGGACAAGTTCACAAGATGATGCAGAAGAGGGATACGTTTTCGACGGGCGTGGAATTTTGAATTTTGGCAAGAGTTTTACGAATTGAGCTTTGTGCGCGCCAAGACTTCGCTTGCGAGAGTGCAGCTGACACTATAAAAACAAGCAAACGATGGAAGATGTTGTGGTCCGCCTCCTGGTGGTGTTCTCTGGTATGGTTTGAGTAGCCTGGGCACCTACTCCACTTGGGAAGGAGACATCTCAGATTAAATTTCGCGCGGAGAAAAGTTGATGGATGACGGAGGCATGTCTGAATAACTGAGGGTTTTTGAGACGTTCCCCTGGGTGGGTATTCACGGATGAGGGTTGACTTGGGGTGAAGAAAAAGCCACCATAACTTCGCAGTGGTACTTGCAAATGAAATCCGAGGCATGAGTGCTCTTCCTTTACGTTGAATCATCTATTCTGTACTTTTCTTTGATATTGTGTCATAGCTAAATAGCCGCATACGCAATTAAAATCTGATGCAAAAAAAGAAAAGATCAAAACAAAACAAAACAAACTCAACGGTCCTGATCGTACGACTGTCTATAAATCCAAAGAAAGATACGATAAAGTAGCTCTCATACTAAATTTTGCCGATTCTTTAGTTGGTTCTTAATTGAAGTCTGGCTATAATTAGGTATCAGATAGACAAATGTCATTGTCGGTTTATCACCGATTCTAGTTAATGTGCTAGCACAAAGATTGGGCAAAATGGTTATTGATCAAAACGTATATCTATATCTCTATGTATCTTGAATAATGAACGGAAGTAAACCCCAACGCCGCACTTAAACCACATGACTAATATCCGTAAATTCCCCCATAGCTACTCTACCAACGCCAATATTCACACAGTCATGGTTATAGATCTATGCATTGAAGGCACTATGAGCAGTCCTGGTGTCACAGGATTGGGACTTAGATGTTTTCTCAAAGAGAAGGGAAAGAGAAAATGATTGATTGTCACATCTTCTATGATCTCACTTCTGTTTAAGTACAAGGTCGCTTGTCTTTCTTCAGTCAGTTTCCATAGTCCAGACCACGTAATCTCATCATCCCGCCTTTCAAACAGACTGTGTTATCTAATTTTAGACACAAGTTATAAATATGATGAGTGTTAGAATATGATTCCTCTGGACGGGTAATACAGTAGTACTGTTACTGGAATATTTGGAAGGAGATTTGATAAAGTATAGGGTTAAATCGTTGCGTGTGTCTTCGTCTCTACGTCTACGCGCTTAATATAAGTATCGCGACCTCGCACCCTCTAATCTATCGCTCCTAGTCTCATCCACACGCTAATATGAAACTACTAATACAGGGTATATAAAATCAACAGACGCCTTACCCTTTTTAACTCCTAGGCAACCAATAACCACAACCCTAACTCCATTATGTTAAATTGTGGGGACGATTATGTTTGACCAACCCTTCTTATAATGTAATAATGAGCGCTAATATCGTAATCAGGTAAAAGTAGGCGCAACTAATTTTAGTACAAAATTCCAGAATTGAGTAACGCACGGTTGATTGCGCGTGCTTCCTTATCAGCCTTATTCAGCCCCACATGCAGGTCTATTAGTTCGGCGCCTGAGCTCGTGTCATCGACTTGGCAAGGAAATATTTGTAAGTCCGAAGCTGAGGAAAAATCTGTTGGACTACAGTCTTTTCTTTGCGTAACTATCCACAAAAGTGCTGGGGTCTAATCAAAATTTCTACGACTACGAGAGAAATTCGATGTTAAACAACTTTCAACCATACTCCGGCTTAATTTTTCTTCTAACCTTTTGCTCGGCAAGGCTTATCGTAATAGAACAACAGTATTGTGGACTAGTCATCTTGTCTCGGTAAAATCCGAGTGGTGCTTTTTTCTCTGAAAGGTAATTGTGAGGCAAATTAGGAAGTTTCCTGTGCGAAAAGTCACAAGTAAAATTATTTCACCATTGTGACGACACCAATTCACCTAAATATTCACTGGAAATTGTCTTTGCTTCTGTTGAGCCGATTGCACCAACAAGTATAAAACGGTCTCATCTTACCGATCATGTAGCACCGTTTAAGTTTGTAAATGTGTTACTGCTGCTACCCGCTTGCAGTTGAAAGCCAAAGGGAGGTAGAGGTACGTTAACTAAATTTTGGTTTATGAAGTCTAAGGAGATGACTTAGAATCTTTGTTTGATTTATTCTGGTCTTGACTTTCACTTATCTTTTCTTCTGCCACAGCTGCTATAATAATCTAACACGCCTCACTTTCTACTTTCAATATCAGCACTTTTTAATCATTTCCAATTTCCTCCAGACCGTTTAATTACTCAACCTTAACAACGCCACTCTAAAGAATTAAATTTTCAGGAGCGCGGTATCAATATAAAGCACTACATGTATATGTATTGGCATCAAAACTATCATCATTTGGACATGAAAATACAAAGCAACCATTACACCACTAATTACTTCATAAAAATCGATGACTCAGCTACTAGTGCATCTGGGCACAATTTTTATACAGGACAAGCACGTTACTTGATTGAAAGAGTTCAACCAATGGTTACATCAATCCATCCCCCTAATTATGTATATTTTACTCTATCACCTTTTACAGCTTGAAACCTTTTTCATCCATCTTGAGCTATACGCTGATTAATGATGACTAATTCACAACTAATCTCTGTCTCTTAGCAGGATATAAAAATAATCACTCAGCAACCGATATTGACACACCCTGGGCCCATATATCAACTATCACACCCAATTGTGGTACACAATATGCCCTCAAAGGAAGTGGATATGACGAGCCACGGTGAATTGTATAATTTGGCTCAAGGAAGTGAGATGAATAAGCCACAGGAGGCGAAACCAGAGGATGATGATCCGAATAGATTTTACTGGGTTCGAGAGAAAAATAACACTTACACCCAACGAAATCGATTTACTATCGATAGTGGTGTTCTTGGTCAGTGCAAATGGTTCGTTGACGATGGAAAGTTTTACGCAGTTATAATGTAACTACAGGTGAGGGCCAGATTGAGATAAATAATTGCTTTTACTAACATTTCATCCAAGAATTTCTAAAGGTCTGCTTTCTATCAGGCTGCTAGAATTATAATTATCAAAGATTCCTCAAAACTATTGAGCATAGATGATTAGTAAATAAATATTAAATTCACTGAAACCATATGTTGGAAAGTATTTCTACGGAGGGCAAGACTGAACACCTGTACGCGGTGTCCTCTACGAACCTGGGAGTGAAATATTCTCCTAGAGCCAAGTTCAGTCAAATTTCGCAATATCAAATAAGTTGGCCCACGAGGCAATGGTTCAAATTACTCCACGTCGTTTTTCCGCTCCCAACGAGTTTGACTCCTATCTTAGTCTCATCAAGTCTACAAGTGCGACCTAGTACATCCTCATCCCTATGACCACATCTCTTTTCGACTTTCTCTGGCCTCAATTGACCACCAAATACACGCCCACGCCGATATTTATACCCGACGGAGGAAGCAAAGCGTGGAGCACAAATCTGGGAGATAGCTCTTTGGGATGGACGTGAGAGGGATCAGGACAAGTTCACAAGATGATGCAGAAGAGGGATACGTTTTCGACGGGCGTGGAATTTTGAATTTTGGCAAGAGTTTTACGAATTGAGCTTTGTGCGCGCCAAGACTTCGCTTGCGAGAGTGCAGCTGACACTATAAAAACAAGCAAACGATGGAAGATGTTGTGGTCCGCCTCCTGGTGGTGTTCTCTGGTATGGTTTGAGTAGCCTGGGCACCTACTCCACTTGGGAAGGAGACATCTCAGATTAAATTTCGCGCGGAGAAAAGTTGATGGATGACGGAGGCATGTCTGAATAACTGAGGGTTTTTGAGACGTTCCCCTGGGTGGGTATTCACGGATGAGGGTTGACTTGGGGTGAAGAAAAAGCCACCATAACTTCGCAGTGGTACTTGCAAATGAAATCCGAGGCATGAGTGCTCTTCCTTTACGTTGAATCATCTATTCTGTACTTTTCTTTGATATTGTGTCATAGCTAAATAGCCGCATACGCAATTAAAATCTGATGCAAAATTAAAAGGACAGACCAAAACAGACCCATTTGCCAAATTCTACTTACATTCAAGGCTGGGTCCGTAAGTCAGCCCAGCCAACTAACACCGGGTAGACCCGTAACAATACACAACTACGAAGAATGTAATAAGTATGACTACTTTCAACCCAAGAGTTTCAAATGGCAATTGTTTCGTTGGCTGGAGAGGGGGGATAATGAAGGGCAAGGGCTCCTCTAAGTGTATGATCGAATGAGGACTTGTAAGGGGAGCTGTATGGGAGGCATTGGAGGGGATATACTACTGGTATAAGTATCCTTGGCCTGTAGGCAGAGAGGACGTGCATGTCCTACATAGTCATAGACTCAGACAGGACAATAAAATGAATTAAAAAATCACCCCAAGGATTTGACACTCCAAGAACAATCAATGTTCATGCTCTCCGGTCTTTTTTTTTTTAATTCATTTTGTATTCAGCTATTTAGCTATGACAATTTATCTAACATTATCACTAAGTAATCAAACTCCCCTGAATAATCTTTCCCATCTTTGTTGTTGCATATATCTGCCCAATGTTTTTTGTTCTATTTATGCTCTCCGGCCTATTTTGCGAGGCCGATAAAGATGACGTACCGCTGAAACAATCAGCCATGACCATGACCTTATAAACGTTACTATCTTTCTGAGATTAATCTCTAGTCCACAGAACACTTTTCTACAATGAGAATTTCTTCCTGGGATCGGGGATATCCCAAAGTCACGCAATCAGCCTAGAACCTCCCCATATATTACCAGATGTTTAAATTGTAGACTATCTTACTAATTTATTCGGTTGAGACGATTGTGGTCAAGTATTATTCTTTCTAGCGCGCATCTCTTTCCCTAGATTCCTCAACCTTAGCTTTCAGATAAAGTATTACCCTCCACAACGAATGCGCATTGAAAAAGCAAGGTTAAAGTACTGACCGGATACTTGAATATACTTTAATCAAGGGCACCAATAACTAGATGTGGGACGAATCGCCACCGATTAAATAAGTAAAACACTACACTTTGATGATGAACAGAGTACTAGAAAAAATATCAGTGTACTTGCGCTGATATGTAGAACCAATATCGGTGTAGTCTATTTCTTTGGTAAGAGTATGGCATCGATAGAATAAAGCAAAAGAAGTGGATTGAAAAATAGGCTTAGAGATGGTGAGATTAATAAAGGAAAAGCTAGAATGTAAGAATAAGGGCAATCAAAACAGGGGAAGTCTTTATGGGAGATTGGATGAGGAGTCCGATGAAGAAGGCATTCCCTTCATTAGATATGAAAAATCCAAGAATGAAAGGTAGGAAAGATTTCAAGTTTCTGGGAGTGTGAAAGACCCGACAGCATGGTAGCCGGAGCTGAGGATAAAATTACGCATCGCCCTTTCAAGATCGAGTTATTTGGACGATCGAACGGACTGGTCAAACGCAAAAATGAAGTCTTAGTTGATCCGATCAAAAAGATGAGACGTAGTTTTTCTACTTAATTGGTAGGTAACCTGATCCAGTCTAGATCCACTCATTCTCGAGCTCCCAAAGGGTACAGAGGGTGCCAATTGCCTGGCGCCTTTGTAAACATACATACAAACATAAATATATTACAGAAAAAACCAGAAATGTAACAGAAACTGCTTGCATATAAGCAAATAATCTCAATCAAGACATACAAAGGTATATGACCATGGCCATTCCACATCATCTAGAGGAAGATTTACAGCAAGATGTGCAAATATCAGTGCCCATGAATCACGTGGAATTTATTGATAGATTACCTCCGAATGACGATAATTTTTCTTAAGATGATAGTTTGGAGCTGTTTCTGGATTTCGGATAAGAGTTCCATGTTGCGAGGCGCGGAATGAAATTATCGTACTTAGAATGAGCTCTCTACTAATTTGTTTAAATCGATGATCTATGATCTTATTGCTAGTTTTCATACAATTTCATTTCCAAGTAAATATTTGCATATCGAATATTTTTAACTAGCGTATCATCTGTACTACCTCACCATTTGTAATATACATTCGTCGGAGTGTATGTATTCTATGCCGATTTGGGTAATGCAGTGAGTTTGCAATTTCATCTTATTCTAAAGTTCATATCGAGCAGAACAGAGGTAACTGTTTGGAGACTAAAGTTTGTAACACAATAGTGGAAGTTTTAAAAGCGTAGAGTGGTGTACATTTAACTGGATTAAAAGATGGCCTTCCTGGTAACCTGATGCAACGGTTTATTAGTAAAAGCTTTAGAGGCTGTTTTTGGAAAATGATACATACAGCCCATACCCCAGCAACACTTGCTACAATTCCTCCTGAAATCATCATCGGCCGAATGCCGCGGGTACTTTTAAAGACCATACCGCTTAAGGCACCCGCGACAACGCTATTAAATGAATCATGTTTCCCTCGAATGTGTCCAATAAATGAATTAACACCGTTGTACACGACTGCTATTACGCCAGCTGAGTTCCCTAAAAATGGCCCTCTCCTAGTTACGGCGTTAAGAGCAGAGTTTAAACGTAGTTTTGGTGGCTGTCCATGGGATCTCCTTAAACCTTCTTGTAATCCCCAAGCCCCACCAACAGTCAAGGCTGTAAGATAAGTAACACCGGTTCCATAACATAGGTCGTCTGTCCATCCTCGTGATGGCAAAGCCGACTGTGAACCGGGAAGATCCGAGAGTACGGAATCTTCAAGTGATATATACTCAAGTGTTTGTTGGTCTAGACCGGCGAGAGGATGAAGCTGAGCAGGGTCGGAAAATGAAGAGGCAGTGAGTAGTGAGGATACATCTTGAGTATCTTGTGGATCGAAAGAAGTTTGGAACGAATCTGGTGGAGGGTCCGAGAAAGAGGTAGCCGCAGTCGTGCCTTTATTTGAGGATGAAGACTTCCTTCCTGAGAGTTTGTCCCAGATCGACATTTTAATGGCTTATTAATTTGAAAGTGACAGCTCTAGTGAGAAAAGGTCATTTGAGGTTCCTTCGCAATCACTCGATTTGGACGAGAATAATCTGTCGCAGACATATATCATGTGACCCGGTTAAAAAAAATTTCATTTGTTCACCACACATTCACATGCAAATTTCGGTTTGCTCTAAAGATCCAGTAATCCCCAACTAGATACGTATATTGATAAAACTGACTATTCAGAGATGTTTAAATTTTTATTTTACTACATTAGTCAAAGAAAATCTAGTAAATTTGGCTCTTTTCTGATTGAGGACTCACCTCGTACAGTGCTCATACCTTCTTTTGTTACGAATAAAGATCACTGATATGTTGCCCATAATGGATGCCGACTTAGGTCAGTATTTGCCCGTGGAATTCAGCTATCTTTTCTGCGAAACCTTCCACTCGAAAAAATTAAATGGTAGCAATAGGAACTACTTGCGCGAGACAAAGTCTAAATAAAACTGCTGCCACAGCCAGGTGAGGTGCGCATATCCATCCATATCTCATTTGTAACATTAGAGGCCAACTTGATTCAATCCACCATCGCCGTATCGGGTGTTGGTTACGCTCTTGAAAATCATCGGATGGCTTTTTCTCCATGCTCAGGAGTTGGTGATGAGAAGGGCTTCGATCCTTACATCTCATCTGATCGTGGTTAACTTCATGATAGTGGTGAAAGGAGGATGTGTTGAGAGATGAAAACGATACAGACCGCGAAAGCGATTGGGAAACCTCACCGAAGTGAGAACTTAGTTATTCAACCTCGGCTCTGCAGACTCTACAGCGAGAGCTAGAGGTTCTTAGGGAAAACGACCAACATGTATTGCATTTCCATTCCCATACCTGGACTTATAAATGGTCTCTTTTCAATGTGCATTGGCATAGAGATCAGTGGTAAAAACTTCTAGGTCAGCAATACAGAGTTAAGCTATACCTAAAGTCTCATTACAACTATCTGTAACCTAGCACTATAGTCACTGCTATACGGAATATTTTCATCCAATTCCATATACCATCGTTTTCAACGCGCTTAAAGAGCCGCCACACATTCTAGGGGTTTACTTTGATATGTGTATCCTCTTGATGATAAATACATGCCAAAGCATGTGCGTATATGTAGTTGTCTAGTTCGGTAAATAAAATATACTTAGCGTCACTGGATAACATTGACCCGACCCTGATTCAGTTGTTTTATAAATTGTAAATCAGCACAACGCGGGAATCCAGTGATATCAATTTGAGATCCCCACCTGAGAAATTTAGGCCCTCGAAATATTGGATATGAAAAAAATTGGGATAAACTCCTCATCGGCCGCGTCAGATCTCAAGCTCGTGCTTAAAAGGCTTGAGGAGCAACCATGTCAGCAGCAAGAACAGTACGCGTTCTAGAGTTTTTGGAAAGAATGCTAATCTTTCTCTTAACAGGTCATTTCAAAATTCTTTTTCTCTATTTCTGGGGAGTGCTCAAGAGCAAGGAGAAGAATTTTCTGACCAATGTAATCTGCTATGCAGTTTTGTCGAACAGTGCAATAGGTCACAGTCCTCTACCCTCCAGAAAATCTCTACATCTGAAAAAGTTGGATACGAACTCTTCTGCTTGTTTCTTGAACTTAGGGACAAGAACCTACACCGATCTATGCGCAGGATTCTAGGACTAGTATCAACGCTGCTCATCTTCAACCACGACAAGGCTTTATCGAATGCCTTAAAAGATTCAATAATCAAAAGAACTCTATCTGTTATTTGCCATCAGTCATCGAAGCCCTCCGTGAAACTGGCTTTGAAGTCACTGGAATTCTTCCTGGGGAAAGGTACAATTTTAATATCTGAACTTATCCTAATCTATCGAAAAATAGTTTCATTTCCAAAAGCTAGTCTGTGCGCTGAGGGCAACACCTCAAACTTTTATTGCGACCATTTTATATCAGAAATATTCAAATGGATGTCTATGTCCGAAATATCTCCCACTGCAGGCAAGTTACTTGTGATAATTTTCCAAGAGACCAGGAACTATTCACAGAACTCCAGCTTTGCGGATATCAGCCTTATTTCATGGCAGAACTGGATTCAAAGAGCCATACAAAAGGAGCCATACTTATTAGAAAATGTGAAGAATCATCTACTACCAACCCTCTTTAGCTCAGACAGATTGGGGTCCCTAGAATTTCTCGAAGATCTCAACAGAAAAATCGTAGAACCACAACCACAAAGCAAAGAATTCGATACATTGATCCTTCTTAGACTAACTGCTCTAGAGATTGGTAAGAAGATGGGCTTAGTAACCGATCCAGGTAAGAAACTACCCTACTTGTTTAATCCTACCAGAGGTTTATTATTTTCTGAGCTAAAACGTACATTTAGCCAATATGCTCTTCAAAGCACCTATTAAATCATCCAAATATATAGTTCTCGATGAAAATAAACTTGAACCTCTGCTCAGTCATGCAAGCCCTGCTGTTCGCTCACTCTCGTATTCCGTCTTGGTCTCTTCAGCATCTCCTCTCAAGCCATTCAGCCCACTTTCTCTGCGAATAATTGAGTCTAAGATCCATATTTTGTACTCTGATACCGATGTCAAGTTTCGAAATGAAATACTAAGTACATCAAAAAAGCTCATAGAAAGGCTTAGGGGATCTACAACCTTTCTCTACAGGGAGATAATCTCAATAAAGTCTCAGCTAAGCAATGGTACCCCACTCGACACTCAAGCTTTATACAATTTAGAGCAAGCTCAGAGCTTACTTTATCATCAGCGGCACTTTATAAGGTGGATTCTTGAGTTCTTACTAGGTGAACTGGTTCCAACTGCCTCGTATCAACGTCATTTTACGTCTTTAAAGACAATATCCTTGTGGATTAGTTCTGGAATATTAAAAAATAAGGCAGACTTACTGCAAGCTAAGCAAGGAAGTAACGAAACAGCATGGTCATTCTTTATATTCCTTTTCTCCCCAGAGGCATTGAGGCTTCTTATGGACCTTCTTGTCGATCCCTTTGAGGATATTCGGAACCTTGCAAGTAGCATTTTGGAGAACTGGCCCTCCTGCGAATTATTGGAAACAGAAAACTCGTCAGATAATTATTGGAGGGAGGAAATAGTCGTCTTTCCAAATTTCACCCGTCGAACAAAACCTTCATCTTTCGGTACTGAGCTGGACTCAGAACACTGTGAACGACTTGCTATTGTAGAAAATTTTCTGAAAAGAGCAGAAATGATCTCAAATAAAACTGGCCGTGCAGATTACGCAGATGGACTAGCAAAGGCTTATAAGCTTTATTATTCCCTACAACTCTCTGATCTAGGAAGATTAGAGCTTCTCTCTGAGATGATAGAATCACTAGATAGAAAAGTAAAAATCGCTAAGAAAAGTTTGTCCCAAGCTGTTCAAGCTGCTCCTATTCATGGTAACTTTGCCACTCTTAAGTATGATTCCTCGCTCCAGTGCACTTTGATGCGAAAATAGTTAATATTTCCAGTTTAATATGGGAAAGTATAAACCCAGAATCACTTTTATTTACCACAGAAAAATTTGATCATAATTGGCTTTATAATATACAACAAAGAATCGTTGATCTTTGTTGTCAAATATGGATATCCGTAGGACATATTCTCTGTAATGATTCTCCGGAAGGTCACATACCAGAAGAAGACTTTGAATCTGAAGTAACAGATTCTAAAAATATATTGAGCTATAGTTTCAGGGCTATACATGAATCTAGGTCAGTAGTCCACAAATAATAGTCTCGAGTCTAACTATCTACCTTATCAGCAAACTTCTGAGGACTTTGGTCAGGAAAATTGTTAATTATGCTGCTTGTAGCCTGACGTCGTATAATAATCTCTTCTCTATAATCGGAGATATTACGTTTGACCAACTTTCTAAACTTAGGCATAGAGGTGCTCTGTCTACTGTTTCATTAACATTTATTACTTGTTGTGAACTGGTCCCAAAATGGCAAATAAACGTTGCAGGTCCGAGGAATACTTTGGATAAATGGCTTGAGGTTTGAACGTCATCTATAAGGTCAAGGTAGTATCTAACTAATATAGGGGGCTTTTGTTTGTTTACAGACACAATTCTCTACAACAAGACGGTCTGCTGGGATACCTTCTATCCTAACAGCAATTATGTCAGTTATGGCAAAAAACGACTTCGAGAAGACTTTTATAAAACTTCTTAAGATATCTGAGAGTGAAACTGAATACTTGGGTGTAGACCAAGAGCAACTTCCACAAGTTCATGCACTCAACTGCTTGAAAGAAGTTATCAAATCTACTAGTACGAGCTCTAAAGTAAATGCCTATATCTCAGAAAGCTTTGAGGTTGTCGGAAAAAATATCGGGTCTCCAATGTGAGTAAATAACCCTTCAATCACACCTCATTTATTTTTAATTGACAAGTGTGAAGATGGGCTATCAGGAACTCCTCTTTAATACTTCTTCGGAGTTTAATTGATAACTTAATGGGTACTAGTGATAGTAAATCTACTAGTGAGACAGGCTGGGATGGGAAATCTACAAAGATTCAGTATGAAAAATACCCCACACTATCTCGTATGCTTTTGCAACTACTTCAGAATGAAAGAAACGCAATGAATGAAGGTATCTCTTATGATCCTGCCGCGCTTCCTGCCATAGGAATTATTCGGAGGGCAGGACCTCCACCTGAGCTTCGTGAACATTTATACGACTTGTTATTCGAAATCCTCAAGAGTAAGGTATGGCATCTCCGAGAACAAGCGGCTAGAGCAATTTCAACTATTCAGGAACGTACCACTGAGCTCGAGACGGTCAAAACACTACTAAATTATTCAAGGGACTCATCAAACGAACAACATGGATCAATACTTGCCGCGAAATTTATAGTAGAACGGATTATAACCACCTCTTACCCATTAGATTGTTTTAATAATCTATATATTGAAATAAACCGACAAATATTTAAAATCTACAATCCCTCTGTGCTCTCAGAGTATCTTGGTATAGGAAATATAGTCTTAGGTCATATCTTGACCCACTCAGATTTAAATAACAAAGAAGAATTTGACGTCTATATCCGGAAACTCTCAGAGAGGTGCTGGGATTCTGAAAGGTCTGAATGCCTTTTACAACATCTTATAGAACTTCAATTTGGATCGGCATCTGTCATGTTCAGATGTTACCAAGAATACATCAAACAAAAGTTTCTAATTGCGATAATTTTAAAAGACAATTTTACTGCAATCCATTTAATATATCTTATTCGAAGTTTTGGCTCCGATATGATAGTATCAATACTCGAGCATATTATATCAGCCTTCAAAAATGAAATTCATATTGACTCATTTATAGAGATTCATCCTATTTTAATTCGAGTTCTGGAAATTAATAGTGAAGCAGCTGTTATTTGTTGTGTTGTAGATATGGTTTCTTATATCTTCACAGCCTGTGGAGAGGATCTGACGAAAAGGATTGAGATATTTCAGCCCTTGATTGAGAGACTCGAAGATTCTATAATTTCGGTTTATAAAATAACCCCAGCTCTGGTCAACGTAGGGCTTAAATTTAGCGGCTATTCGGCTCTGCTGAGACTTAGCACGCCTTCACTTACGCGGGCAGAAAAAAGTCAATTTATACAGAACTGGGCAAGAACCTTAGAAAGGGCAAGCCAAACCAATCAGGTATGCCTCTTCAAAACTGTTGAAATCCCGCTTCTAATCTAGCTAGAACTTTGATTCCCGCTATGCAGCGGCTCATGCAATCCAAGCATTTTACGCGTGCAACCATGTAAAACTCGACCGAATTGAAATCAAGAAAGTTACCTCAAAGCTTGATTTAATCCTTGTTACTCTGCTAGTTGATGATGATGAGCAGATACGCCACATAGCAGCAATGACTGTTTCTAGCTTTTTAGGACGCTCTTTCGCCCCTTTAGCCGCTTTAGATGCTCTTTTCAAATACCGAATCCCGAATACTGATCAGTGTGATCAATTCAGCTGGGTCTGTCTCCATCAGATTATTGTATTTGATCTTTCAACATCGAAATGTAACCCACTAGATCCCGGAATAGTACTTAATAATGCGTTAACTATCGATTACTCCCTTTTTGCTGTTGAGGAACCAAATCTCTTCATTGATCCGTGCAAAATGGTCAACTACTATAGCAAAAGTTTCCTTGAGTCTCTGTTTAATCATGAGGCCGAGCTAAAGTCTCTTAACTTGGGCCTCTTGTCTGAATTTGAAATTTTGTTATCATGGGCCGCATCTGGGCTGATGGAGTTACAACGGATAAACCTTAACCGCGAAGTCTCTAGTATACCTACTTCGCTAAAGGACTCAAAATCCTCGATTTTACCTGTGTTTGTTACGATTTGGAAAATAATAGCTGCCGGAAAAACCGCTCGATCTTACTGGCAAAAAAATAGGCATTCAATAAATAAATTTAAGGATAATTCTACTGTTGAAAAAGCCGTGGTGGAAAGATGGAGCAAATTGCTTGCACAAATCGAAGAAGGGTTAGTGAAGGTCTCATGCCGGCCTGACATTCATGAATCATTAGGACGCTTCGCTGCTAATGACTACCTGATGCACGATCCTGTATGACTAATTCGGCTCTAATAGTTGTGAAAGATATCTATTTAATTCTAATTCTACTTCTCCTTGAAATGCATCATATCATTTTATACTTGAGTATGAACAATATACCACAGTAAGAAAGTATTAGTTGGACATCAAAACCCATACACATATTTTCAGTTTCAAATCAGTTAATTTGATTTACCTACCATTGGGATCAAATACAGTTTTTTCGCAAAACTTCAATATTATTAAAAGCTATTGTCGGGAAGTAATTATATTTTCTATGTAGTACGTGTGGTGTATCTCTCCGTCGCTGAGTCATCTTTTTGATGACCTAGCCAACACGATGAACTCCATGTTCGTAATATTCTTATATAGAGAAGATAGACACAATATGTTGGAATTACTACGGGGTGGTTTCACGATCAATCGCAATGATTCAGTAAAGAGTTGTACGATTCTGTTTTTTGTTTTTTATATTAAAGTCCTAAGCTAAAGCTTTAGGTCCACTATCGTTATAAGACTGGTGGAGCCGGCGGGGATCACTGCTTACAGGCCCAACTCATTCCAACCGCGAGACCCGCTACAAAAAAAGTAGAAGGTAAAATATAACTCAGAAGACACCACCTACTCCGACTCCGAAATCGAAACTTCATCCTTCAACCCTAAATTTAGGTACAGAAAAATTTTCTCAGAGAAACGACTCTTCTCGCCTCGTTCCCTTTCGTGTCATGCGTTGTGGCAATGACTAGTTCATCTGATCCCCGCTGAGAGCAGTGGATGAGCGGGCAGGTTGGCTATCAAAACAGCCGGTTTCCTCCGCAAATATTTTGAAATATCGTGGCACTTGGGCCCGAGAAGCTTTTTGATAAAGTCAACGTGGGACATTGACTTTCTGAGCCTACGCATTTGTTGTGCGTGACGGCTACAGTGGATGAAGTGGGTTGGAGTAGTTTCCTTCCCGCAAGAGCACTCCATAGGGGCGTGTGGATTATTAAAACGGCGATGGTATGCCGCAAAATTGCCGTGACCCGTTCGTGCTACGATTAGTGCCCGGAGGAGGTGCCTAGAGAGAGACAGTTCGGGTGGTTTGCGTCTCCGCACCTGTAGGTTGAGTTGGCGGTATTTAGGCGGACAGGCCTCTTCCCACCAACTGTCCAGCAGCCTCTGTCGTCTGCGATTCATGAGACCACGTAGATATGCTAGAGTACATGATCCTGGTGGTATCTCCTGGCTAGGCAGTTCTCGAAGTGCTGCACGGGCCATGGTGTCTGCCTCTTCATTTCCTTGGACTCCTGCACGCCCTGGAACCTACTTCACTGATTTTCAGCCTTATTAGATAGCGCACGGAATTTGCGTACATCTTCTGGGCTAGTTGAGGACGAGCCTGTTGTTAGTGCGCTTACAGCCTGCTGGCTGTCTAGAAACACGTGGATTTGCTGCGACTCTCCTATTTTCCTGCACTTTTCGTTCTCCAAGAACTCCAGTGCGGCCTCCAGAGTCTTCCTTGCTCCTACTATCTCTGCATCCAGCACCTCTCCCCCGTGCTTGATCCCACTTCCTTTGCCGGCGGGATTCCCCCTTCTCTATGAAGGACTACATTTGGTGTTGTCCTCATTACTGGAAGTGCAGCCCGCAATCCCATGAGGTTAGCTCGGTCAATCATGCCGCAGAGGTTGGAGGTTGAGAACGTGACTATTCCTCGTATTGTTGGGCGTTTGGACCCTGGCCACCAGACATCAGATCCAAAGGTTGCGAGCGAGACAACGCACATGTCTACTGCCTTAGTCAATGGCCCAGGAGCTGCTCCCCGAAAGGCAGAGTTGAAACGGCGCATGTGCTGGGCAACTTTTACCGCTTTACCGCACCACGTAGTTACATGGTGTTTGAAATTGAGTCGTGGATCTAGATTCACGCCTAGCCAGCGAATATTTTCCGCAGGCTCAATAAGGGTTCCGTTAACATGAACACCAATTGCTTCCTCTCGGCGTCGTCCCGGAAATTGAATAACTTCCGATTTTTCCGTGTCAAAGTCGACAGCATTATTCCGCGCCCATTCGAGAAGATGATCTATCTCACCTTGTACAGCAGCGGCAGATTCAGCAATTGTGCGTCCAAACCCTAGAATCCCAATGTCGTCGGCGTAACTAAATCTCAATCCCGGGTACCACTTTTCATTGGCTCCGCCATATACAGAAGAAATAGTAATGGCGAAATTGGTGATCCCTGGGGGACTCTACAGACCAGCTCTCTCTGGGTGGTGACTCCGCCGGAGAAACGCACTTGTACCTTCCGATGTGTGAGGAATGAAGTCGTCCATCGGAGGATTGAGTCTGGCCATCCCTGAGCTTGCATGCGCCTAACCAAGCGATTGTGGAGCACTGCATCGAACGCTCCTTGGACGTCTAAAGTTACAAATGTCGAGGCCCATCCCTGGGAGCGTGCTTTTTCGACATCGTGGACTACGCAGGAAACTAGCTCCGTTGCAGATCTCTTTGGGAGCGCACCGAATTGTTGATGGCCAACCACAACACAGGTGATTGCGAGGGGGACTTTTCTCAACACCTGTCAGTCGTGTCCCCTACGAACCTCCAGCTCTCACTGTAGAGTCTGCAGAGCCGAGATTGAGTAACAAAGTCCTCACTTCGAAGAGGATTCCCAATCGCTTTCGCGGTCTATATCGTCTTCATCTCTCAACACATTCCCCTATCACCACTATCATGAAGCTAACCACGATCAGATCAGATGGTAGGGTCGGAGCCCTACTCGTCACCCACCCTTGATCATGGAGGAAAAGCCATCCGATGAGTTTCCGGAGCGTACCCAGCACCCGATACGGAGATGGTGGATTGGATCAAGTCGACCTCGACTGTTACAAAGAAGGGAGATATAGATGAATATGCGCACCTCATGTGGTCCCGGTGTCTAGGCCTCGCCTGGCTGGGGCTGCAGGTTTTTTGAGACTTTTTCCCACGCACGTAGTTTCCATTGCTACCATTTTTTTTGGGTAGAAGGTTCCGTGGAAAAGGTGGCTGAATTCCACGGGTAAATACTGAGCTGAATGGCTATTCATCAAGGGGAATATATCAATGATCTTTCAAGTAACAAAAGAGGATAGGAGCACTGTACAAGGTGTGGCCTGGGTCAGAGAGGAGCCCAATGTGCTAGATAGTCATAGACTCAAGTAGTACAATAAAACACACACACACACACAGGTGATTGCGAGGTTCGCCATTCACTTGGCAAGAAGTCTTTCTAACCATTTGCCTATGCATGATAGGAGGGCTATAGGTCTCCAGCCTTTGATTGTGGTTGGTGTCGAATAGTAGGACACAAGTTTTATTTGGATGTGCATTAAAAAAGGATGCTGGAGTTTGGGTGGCAATAATGATTATGAAGATGTAATGACAAATGGGTAATAATTAGTAATAGCTGTGTAAGCATATATCATGTGACGAGTGTTCAAGGTCGTTAAGGCCCTGGCGCTCCGTCACATATGAAGATAGATACGAATGAATGAAACAATTGTTATTTAGTTACCTCAAACAAAGAATCCATAGGAAATATTCTGACACTAATCAGTCTTCGAATTCAGATCAGAATACCTGTGAAGAGAGATACAATTTGTTCAGTCCCTGTTAAAGGCCTCAGCTCATATTGTATTTGATAAGGAATATAGATTTTAGTTGACCCCTGGGAAAGGCCCTCAACTTTAAGCTATTATTCAAGAAATCGACCCCTTATTAACGAAGGCCCTCGATTTGCGTCCATCACGCCTACACTCCACCTAGAACTTTAACCATTTCCATCCCGAAAAACCCAAGTCTTTATTAGGTTCGTATACTGAAGAAAATGTCAGGCATTTCAAACATGAAACCAGAAACTCCCTCGATTTCTAAACAGGAAGAAATCGACAATTTTATTAAGAAGACTCTCAAGGAATTCACATCGTACAATTTCAAAGACGATAATCTTTGGGAAGCATATCAAGATGAATTCAGCGATAAAACCCTTGATGATTTCCAGGCAGCTTCAAAGACAGCGTTGCGATCACTCAGAACATACCTACGTTCTCACGGTGTCTGGGTTAAATGGGATAGGCATACAACTATGGCTGTATCCCTATTCAATACATTATCAGAAGAAAGCCCCACAGAATGGACTAAGGAAGACATCATGAATTCTAATGAAACTTTTGACTCGGTCAAGATTATCAATGTCATGAAAAATTCTCAAAACTATTCCGTTCAAACCAAGTTGGGAAACCCGCGGATGTCAACTCAGGAATTGCCCAAAAGATCCCAATCTATTCCTCCATCTACAGATCAAGCTTCTCAAAAGAAACCCTCAGAGCCTTCAGCATATCCCATCACTGGCTACGGCAGAGAGTTATCAAACTTGGCAAAAATGTACGGGCCAGAGCTCAAATATCAGGGTGAAGGTGATAGCTTTGATTACAAGTTAAATATATTCATGGAACTGTGCGAGAAGGCTGATGCACCCGAGCTCCTATACGCAAAGGCATATTCAATAATGCTTAGTGGCTCGGCACTAACGCACTATTTCTCTGTAACATCAAATGGACACGGATCAAACTTCGATGAGCTATGCACCGCAACTAGAGATTATTTTGAAGGTCCAGAAACAAAAAGAAACAAGATTGCTAGATGGGAATCACTTACTCTTCGCTTGGTCATAACTGAAAATGTTGATAAAGGGAAGTCGACCTTAGAATGTTTACAAATGCTTTTTACCGAGCTTCGTCACTTGCAGCTTAGCTTTGATAAAGAATATAGATCAGAAAAACATCTACATACAAAGCTAATTAATGCCTGTCGCAGTTTCCCTGCCTGCCAGCTTGCATGCTTTAAACCAAGTAGTACCCTAATGGGACTTTTCAACGATCTCCAATCATCTATTTCAACTGTTGAGCTAAATGAAGGCGCCCAAACATCGCAATTATTCACGGACCGCCGTTATTACAAAGAAAATAATCAAAGAAATCCTGAAACTTCGCGCTCAAA